ATACTTCTGTCTAAAAACTAATAACTTAAATTTGCAACTTCAACATTTTAACAATTTATTCAAATATATGAGTATGATTTGTTTTTAAAATCTACACTTTATATGTAGAAATTGAAAATATAAAAAAATATAAGAAAATTATGTATTTACCATTAAAGATATTAAAAATTCAAAAAAATATGTAAAAAAATTTAAAATAGAATAACGTTATCAACAATTAGTAACTTAAATTTTTTAAATTAGCATTTAAAATTTTTATGCAAATTGAAGAGTTGGGTTTGTTTTAAAATCACATTATATATGTATAAATTGACTGGTAGTAGTAGATCTTTTGATCGGCATTAGAGTAAAACTGTCGGATTATGGTTTACAATTTCTGGATTACACTTGGGCTGAGTGTTGAAGGGTTGGGCCGAGACTGGTAAACGTGGAAGCCCAGTAGAAGTGTTCATCATTCGGAAAGGCATAAGGTTAATGAAACTCTACGTTTTGGCTATACACACTTATAGTTTGTGTGAGTTCTTGCCATGTGAAGCTTGTTGGAGATTACGTGAGCTGGCAACTGCAAGGAATCGAGTGAATCCAGCCGTGATTTAGTACAAGAGGGCAGAGTATATAAGGGAAAGGATACATGAGAAGAAGGACGACGTAATACCTAGGTCTTAGGAAAATTCTTGAGCGGGTGAATGAAACACGTGAGATTAGGGTGTGAGATCGTTGTCTTCCTCGTGTGCATACTCTTACTTCATTGTATAGCTTTCTGGTGAGAGACGTGAGCTTGTGAGAGGTGTGAGCTTGGTGAGTGTCTCGATTACGTGTTGATCCCCGAGACATACCTTGGGATCGTTAACGCTCTTAGAGCAAGTTTATTGATGTCTCTTAGCTATGTTTCTTACTAATAAAATATCAAAAAGTAACTAAAAGTATGAGAGAGAAATAAGAGATGTCCCTTATTTAAGGAATTTGAGATACATCCCTTAGCTTGATCTCTTATTTTTCTTCCACATGTCTCTTTGTGAATGATTTATTTTATTTTGTTAAAATAAATTTTAGTTATATATTTATTTTATTAATAAAAGTTATCTAAGGGACTCTATTGTGGGTATACACCAATAAACATGCTCTTAGGAACTCTAAATCCCATGTATCTTTTATATTCTGCAAAACACAAACAAACACAAACTTAAAACAATTGCAATCGTACAAGATGAGTTAGACAACGTGATACAAGTTAAAAACACTACAAAAAATAATTATCTAAAAATTAGTAACTAACATTTGAAAATTTTTAAGTTACTAATCCTTAAATAATGTTTTTTATTTTAAAGTTTTATATATTTTTATTTTTGGATTTTTTATATCTTTAATGGTAAATACATAATGTTTATTATATTTTTGGTTTTTATATTTTTAATTTCTATATATAAAGTGTTGATTTTAAAAACAAATCATACTCAAATATTTGAATAAATTGTTAAAATGCTGAAGTTGAAAATTTTTAGGTAAATGTATTATATTTTTATTTTTGTAATTTTTAAATTTTTAGTGATAAAACACCTCAATTATGTTTAATTAGTATAAAAGCCAAAAACTAAAGATTTACCGGTACTAGTGGTCATTTTGACATGCACTTTAGACCGAAGGTTTAATCTATTAGATAAAGTTAGTTTAAAGATTTTTCCGTTAAAAATTTATTTGAGAAGTTTTAACGTTAAAAATTCTTTTATTTTTAAGTCAATTCATAATTAGTTATATTAATATTTTGTGTTTAAGAAACGTAGTTAAGGTAATATCAGTTAAGGTGCTCTCTAATAATCATTCCATCATTTTACATCTTCAATTTACATCTCCATCATCAAATTGTTTTTTTTTTTTTTCACTTCATTTTCGCTCCCAAGTATATGAAATCGATGACACACATGACACATCCATCCAAACCCTTGCAAATTACATAATTTATCATGATTTACATTTTCGTCATTCTTCTCGGCAGTTTGTTGATTATCTACTACATTTATGGGATGCTAGGAATATTGGTGCGGGAATAGATGAAACTATGGTTTTTGAGCTAGGTGTAGGTTGAAGGTTGACGAATGACAAACCAATTTATTAAATAATATGATTCCGAGGTAACAAAAAAAATGATTCTGAGGTGAAAATATTGATTTGCTTAAGTTTCATTCTTAGAATTGTCAAACAGTTATACTCCGTAATCATCACAGAAGAAGAGGCAAATACTTTAGATAACTGTGAACAAACTCACTTCGTCTGACAACAAGCGAGCCAAATAATCCCAAAAAATACATGAAGGACAAACCAACAAAATTGAAAAACAAGTAAATGAAGACCACGTGTCGACTTGCAAAACTGTTGAGTGAATAATCCCTTTTATTAGAATGAAGCACATCCCTCTTTCAAGATTCATCTTTTCTTTTTCTTTTTCTTTTTTTGACAAAGGACTAGATTCGTCTATTTTTCTCACATTTTATACGGTTCCAAAATATACGGTTTCCATTAATTATTCAATATCCGTGGACACATTTTATTAAATGTGGAAAAAAGACAATTAAGCGGCTACAAGTATGGGGTCACGACACGTGGAATGTCCACGAGAGCACAATTTCCGGATTTTCGTAGGTATTTGTGATTTGCTTGGCATGTTACGAATATCTAATTTTGGTATTTGCTTTGCTTCGGAAAAACACGGATATCCGGGAAAACGGATATCCGAAAAATAAATAGATATTTGTGGATATTTACGAATACTTACGAATATCTCATAAAACATATCTTAAAATTTGATATAAATTTAAAAATTTTGATATAAATTTGTTTTGAAAAATATTTTTTGCATAATATATAAAATAAAAAATAAAGAAATAGTGAATTTATATATTTTATATTTTTTAAGTTTAAGTTAACAATTATAAAAACACAAAACTTAAGAGTTTTCATAATTTTTCTCTTCTTTTTATCTAATACTTTTATATAAGTAATTATGTGAATATAATTAGTCAAATCATAATCTACAGTAATAATTTTATACATTTTAAATAGAATCAAAATATATATGTATTATATATTTCCGGATCGAATCGGATATCCGCTCCCCAAAATTTTAATATTTAACGGATATTGGTTTTTAGTATTTGCTTTGATTCGAAAGTTTGCGTATATCCAAAATTTTCGGATCAAATCGAGACGAATAACAAATCGAATCAAATTTAGCGAATAAAATGCTCAACCCTACTTATATGAACCAAACCTAGGGCTGTTCAATATGGTAATACCGAACCGTACCGAACCGAAATAGACAATGTGGTTTGGATTTGGTATATACCATATAAACCGAATGGATATGATTTTATAAAAACCGTAGGATTTGGATATGGTTAGGTTTATAACCGATTAAGCCGAACAAAACCGATCAAAGAAAAAATATATAAATATATACATTATATACCCATTTATTTTCTTGGAATAGTCTTTTTTAATTTTTTATTCGTTGTGAAGATATATCTTAATAATTTTATTTTATTTTCTTCAACTATTATCTAAATTTGATTTGATTTTGCCTGTTGTAAGAAATTGTGAAATTAGATTATAACATGTAATCTATTTGGAAGAACAAAGAGAAAATAAGAAAAACTGTACAAAACTGAATCGTTGGTCGTTTTGTTTGTTGTTAATTTCATATTTTTATATTTATGAACACCTAGGATTATTTTAATAAATGATAGTTTTGACAATATTTTTTTTTTAAATTCATATGATATGAAACCAAATCAAATAATAATGTTATTTGTTATAAAACCGAATAAACCGAAAATCGGTAGTATAAATACCGAACCAAACTAAATTAAATATGGTTCCAATATGGCAGCTAATTTTTATAAACTGAATAACCGAAAACCGAAAAAAAACTGAATCGAAACCAGACCGAACACCAGATTGAACAGACCTAACCAAACTTATCACTTTTGATCCTCCAGACATCCACATATCACTTTTGATCTTGTTTAATCATTTTTTTTTTGAATTATACAGAAGTATACTGGCCTTACAGAAGTGATCCAAACTAGTCTATGATCTTGTTTAATCTTCTTTGTCTTTTTGAATTTTCGATCTCGTATCACCAAAAAACAAAGAAAGTTTCAGTGATTGGTAACCCTCAAGCGAAGATCTGCAGAATTGAATTAACATGCAGGAAGTAAATATAGTGAAATCTAGCTTTCATCAAAGAATCCGCTTAACTATGCTTTCAAGTCTCACCTATATGTCTATCTTGTATCGGGTTCAGACGTTATCAGTTACTTGTTTTGTATGTGGAAGAAAAGCATTAGCTCTTCTTCAATTCTTGAATTTTAAGATCTAAGCCACGTTATTGATAATTGAAGATGTCAAAACTGAAACAATCTTCAATAAACGTACGCAATAATACGCATCATTTGAACAAGTGATCCTAGAGGTCTCTAATATGCATCTAAAAATCGTGTTGTATGCAGAAATGATAAAGCAAGACCACACCCCAAATACAAGACAAAAATTGTAGGCTCTTTCATACAAAATCATCTACTAGCATAAATGCACATAGTGCATATTGTCAAAAACGTTTGTTAGATAAGATTATGAATATGGAGTTGATATTACAAATTAAATAACAATAGGTGTTATTAAGTCCTTTTCTTCCATTTTCCTTTAATTAAAGCTCAAGTCAAAAATCATAACTTTGTGCATAACAGTTTAAATAATTATAGGAAATTCGTAAAGCGTTTAAAAAGAAAGACCCACGTGGAGCGAGATTAAAGGATATCTATAGATTGACGGCGTTAAGTCAACGTGCAGTTAAAAACACCGTCAAAAGTAAAAAAGTTAACGGAGAAAAATATAACATGGATCCCCCAGAATAGTAAAAAGAACTTTCACAGTTTCACTAATCCAAACTGGGACTCCTCATCTTCTGCCGTCGAACCGGCGANAAAAGAACTTTCACAGTTTCACTAATCCAAACTGGGACTCCTCATCTTCTGCCGTCGAACCGGCGATTCCTCCGGCGTCGGCGAAGACTCAGTCGACACATCGTCATCTTCATCGTCTAATGGGAATGAGAGCGGCGAGGACAAGCTCTCCACGGGAGATAACGGCGGAGAAGAAGCGTCCGACGAATCAGACGAGAGAAGCAACGGCGGCGGAGAGGAGTCGGAGGAATCAGGCGAGAGAGTCAACGGCGGAGAAGTGTTAACGGAAACAGAATCTTCTGGAAGCTTCCGTTTGTTTCCGTTTGATAGTTTAACGTCTCTGGATAAATAGTTTCTGAGGCGTTTCACGTCGGCGAGTTTCACCGGTTTCAGTAAAAAATCCTCCGCACCTTCCTCAAGACATCTGCGTGAATCAGTTTATTCAGTCAACAGTTTCTTTAATTAAAAATCGACGAAGTTTGAGGATTTTATAACGAAACTCACCTGTCGATTCTAGTTATTACATTCTCGGATGACATTATTACAACCGGAACTTGTCGGAAACTCGACGATTCCTGTAAATATTCCCGATTCCACATTGTTCAGACAAGACTCAAATTAAATAGAAACAATTATCTTTAAAACGGCGTCAAAATTTAGACCTTGATCTTCTTAAGAAGCTCGTAGCCAGTCATTCCAGGCATGCAGTAATCCGTAATAATCAGATCAACTTTCAATCTCTGAGAATCGGTAAGAAAATAAATAACAAATCTTTTTTTTTTTTAATTTTGTAAATTAAATAAAAATATAAATTCGAAGAATTACATCGAGTTCGGCAGAAGCTTTCTCGTTATCTATCCCTAGAAACTCCAGAGCACGCCATCCGCTATCTACAGCCGTGACTGAAACAGAGCCGCCAAAGATATGTTTTAGAATTTTTCCGACGAGAAGATGTTTAAATGCATTTTTTTTTGGTTATTTTTTAATTAGGAAGACAACCTTTGCAGGAGGTAATACGAAGCAATCTCTCAATGAAAATCCGATCAACGAGGCTGTCGTCGACGGCTAGGACATGAACTTCATCTACATCCAAAGGAGGAGATTCCATTCCTCCGATGCCGCCGACGTTTATCATCTCCGGCCTCCGTAGACAAGAAACGCCACCATCGCTGGCCATTGACGAGTTAGTGGTAGTAACTGAGAGGAGAGGATATTAAATGGTTAAGACAAGAGAGAAGAAGAGAGAGTTCACATCTGTTTTCTTTTCCTCTTCTCCTCTGCTTTATGATAGTTTTTTTATATTTCTGGTTTTTTTTTTTGTTCTCACACTGAATTTTTTTTAAATTAATCTTTTTAGTACGTCTTTTGATTTTTTTAATTTTATGGAGTATTTCTTTTCCAGGGAGGAAAATCCAACGAAATCTTTTATGAAATATTTATTTAATTATTCTGGATGATTGGTTGAACTGTAGCTGTAAAAGTTTTACTGTATAAATTAGTTTGTAGAGTTTTTTGATTTAGCTGTAAGAGATGTAGCTTTAAAATTATCTACAGCTAAAAAGATGTAGCTTTAGAAAAAAAAGATTTTACAGCAATTTTTTTAGTTTAGCTTTAAAAAATAAGATAAAGCATGATTGGTGATTTAAGTGCTGTAAATAAAAAATAAAGCTAAAGTCAGCACTTACAACCCAACCAATCACCTACCTGCTTTTAGGGTTGAAAATTGACCTTTATTTTGAAGAAAAAAATGGTATTAATAAAATTGGACTTCTGAAAATCCGGTGGTGGGGGACCTATACGAATATCATACTGATAATATTCCTAAATCTAATAAATAATAGAGGATATAAATCCGTACAAAGACTCGAAAATATATACCATAGACAGATCATGAGATAAATATCTCTTAGGTAGTGTGAGTGAAAACCTGAAAATGGACTTTTGACTGTTCATAAACAGAATAAAAAGCTGAATATGTGAAGCTAGTTTGGTCACCATTGCAGTTTTTTTTTTTTTTTTGACATCACCATTGCAGTTTACAGTAGCGGTTAAAAAAGTAAACATGTTAAATAGAGTGGTTATAATCCAGCTCGGTTATGATCGGTTTAACGAGACATTTTGTTGGTCAATGTATACATTAAGCATTTACTAAGGCAGTTCACATTCACTGTCAATGTGTCATGCATGTTTCAATGTAACTGAAACAGTAGTCACGAAATCTAAATTTTTAACCAGGATAATCTTTCACTGCAGGTTTGAAAGTGTTCTTCTTGACACGTTATGTTATAGTCTTGTAGATAGATCATACATGTATTTAAAAATGTAGATCAATAACGCAAAATAATATTGTTCCATGTGATTGGTCAGTTTCTACTTTATTGTCACCAAAGTGTAAGATGCAATCCATAGAATAAATAGTTGACAAACATAAAGAGAATAAATATTGTAAATTCAGGTTAGCTATACGTATAATGTCATTTTCCAAACCGCCGATAGGTGACATAAACCATAACGTAGCCGCAATAACATTATACAAAACATTATGTTATCCAAACCAAACGCTTCGTTAATCTGCAATTATAAACTAATCCAAAAAGCCAGCAAAAATATAGTGTGATTTATTTTGACAAATATCAGTTTTTCTAAACAATTGGAAGGTGGACAAATAATAATGCATTGACGTCCACATTAAAATTAGGATTCGTAGGTCCCAAGGAAATCTAAAGGGGGGGACCCATTAATATTTGTTCGAACAATTTTTTCTTGTCATTGGACTTTTTCTCTTTTTCTTCCAAACATAATTTGCTGTTTAACTCTTTAGACACCACAGCGTATCAAATCTTGGAGATTGCTTTTGCTTTGTCTTTCCCCACTCAAAAATAATTAAATTATGCATAAATGTATTTCTTTTTGTTAATCTTTTTTTTGACTAAAATTATTTTTGTTAACTTCACTTATTAAAAGGTTAGCTTTCATAAAATTTCTCTTGTTAATAAACAATCACTCTTTAAGAAAATGTAAAACTTCATTGTTCAAAAAAAAAAGAAGAACAATACTCAATACAACGACATCCTCCTAGTAAGAGCCACCGCAACAACTGATACGATACATACATGATACAGCAAAGCAGAAAGAAAAGACCCAATGACGCGTGAAATCAGATTTTACGATCGGTATGCCCATTCTTTAATAAAATAAAACAATTGCAAAATCTAAAGATTGATTTGTGAATTGAATTTTTTTCAAACGATATGGGCCAACGAATGATGGATCAAATCTTCATGATGTCAACTACAAATCGAGGGTTGAACAAAAAAATCCAAATAGTAGTGGTCGACGTGTCGCATGTAAAACAAAAGTTTGTATTTTTCTTCTAGGAACTTTGAAGATCAATAGAAGAAATGAAGACAGTGACATAAAATCAAATATTTATTTTGGTACTTCATTGCGATTTGGAGCATCGTTTAGTTATAATAGTATAGATGTAAGTTATCTCTCTGACTATGACTTTTGGAAACCCTCGTATATACTAAAAATAAAGCATGCAAAAATATATTTCTTGCAGAATACCTAGCAATAAATGTCACTATTTAGTTTACCTAACTAAATAATATACTGACTAGATCCGTGCACCCGCACGAGTTTTATTTTTTGGATGTATTCTATATAATTTAGTTTTATATAGTTTTGAATTTGTCCAATTCAATTTTATGTTTAAAGAGCTATATCAAAACTGTCTTTTGTATTAATAGCATCAAGCGGTGTATTATGTAGATGTAACTGTTCAGTGAAAATATTAATTCTATATGTTTTTCGAAGTGCAAAATCAAATTGAAATTTAACGGTTTGCGTTAAAATAAAGTTGAGAGTTTAGTTACTTTTGATCTTAATAATTATCCAATTTTTTTAAAATAATATAAAATTTCTAGAATTTTTGGTCTTTAACTTTTAATTTAAAGATTAGGTTAAATTCAAACTTAACTTTAGTCTTAACTTTGCAAGGACGGAATATTTTATGATGAAAAATTTCATAAATAACTTCCAAATATTTTGGTAATTTGAAAGAATTTATGTTTTTAAAATATTTTTACATTTATATCTGTATTTTAAAATTCAATCCGAACCGCTATTAGTAATCTGATAATTCAGTTTTGATTTTTAAAAATATCATATCTAAAAAATCACTAAAACCCGAGACTAACAGATTGAACCGGTGGATAACTGATATGTAATATTTAAACCTCTAAAAAGAAGTTTATTTTCGTTGTTTTATATATTATTAAAATTTTTAATTTATCTAAATAATTTGAAAGAAAATTGTGAGAAATTATAAAAGGGTGAAATCTAATATTTTGTATTGTTTGGACGTAATTAAGATTAATTATAGTGTTGTTTGGAAACATGAATAACAGTATAAATAAATGAGTATATTGTTTGGAAACATAGATAGTAGTATAAATAATGAATATATTGTTTGGAAACATGAATAGTAGTCTAAATAAATAAATATATTGTTTAGAAGTATAAATAATAGTATAAAGAAAGGAATATTAATTATTTAATGTAGGTTTAACTATGAAGTAGAAAGTTGTATTTAATTTAAAAATTTACAAAATAAATGTTAGGTCCAACATAATATTTCTGATTTAATAAGATAGATATATACATATACAAACTATTTTTTTCAAATTCCAAAACAATATAAATACAAGCATGCTAAAATACACTTTACAGATTATATTCAACCTAGTATTATGTTTGAAATGAAAAGTGTGAATTGAGATTTCCGAAAAGATATTCAATCTTTGGTGCGTTATAATTTTTTTTCTCATCTGATCCGGAGACCATTTTTTAAAGGTGTTTCTTTTTTTTTAAAGGTGTTTCATTTTTCATATTTATTCTAGTTATACTTCATTTTTTTTTATTTTTCATATACTGAATAGTATTTTTTAAATTTGAAAAATACTGTTCAGTTCTTTATTTTTAAGGTTATTTTTTTTATTTAAAACTAATCTTTAACGTTAATTTATTATTATTTTCTATTTAGATATTATAAGTGTCGATGTCATCGAATTAATTTCAAGGTTTGTATTATTATTTCATCTAATTAGATCCTGATAAAGAAAAGCATGTAAATATTAATTTTGACAAATATATGTTTGGTTTGGAAGAATTTGAACTAAAATTGCTCATTCTTCGTTTCAAGGTATTTTGGTTTTATAAAATATATATTTAGTTTAAAAAAAAAAATCGAATAATATTTATTTATGTCATGAGTAATAATAGTAACTGTGTCGGATTACTCTTAAAACAAAATAATTGTGTTAAATTAGTAAATTTGAAAAATAAGATACTATTAATAATTAATTATAAATAGTAATAAAATACACTTTAAATATTCTCTTTTGAAGAAATAAATTAATAAAATAAATCGTTAGAGAATATATTACTTCATCTTTTGAAAAATTTCATATTTTTTTTTTAAATAATGTCAACTATATTAGAGATGCTCTAATTACAGTACAACACACACAGAAAAATGAGCATTAGGTATGTTCATGTAAGATGCATACCTCTTCCTATACAAAACAGATTAAAGTGGGAAATTACAAACACATATTATATTATTAGTGCCACGTTGTAATATACTCTATCTCGTGCTCATTTTGGTAAAGTTCTAGTATAACACTTCCCCACCCCATTGTACTTTGAATGTGTGGTCAGACAGTGTTATGAAAAGTTCGACCGCCCAGTATCTGATCGGAACAACATTCAGCCCCATACCCCTCCATCAATTTCCTGAAAGTGGATCATGAAATTGATTTTTGTTGACATTTTAATTACCAGATGGAATGTTTTTATTTCCTCTGTATTTTTTTTTAAGTAAACAAAAATGTGGTTTCACTCCTTTAACGAAAATCCAAACATTATAAATAATAGTCCACTATATTTCTATAACTTACATGTCTCGTTTGAGATATGATAATCAAAACCCAATTACAATATTTTTTTTCTTTTGGCAAATAGCCAAGGTATGTGGGGATTGTAAATATATATCTTGATATATTAAAGGGGCATCATCTGAAATGCATATTATCTTGTAATATAGATCTATATATTAAGTTTTACTCAGAAAATTATACAATTAAACTAGTTAAAAATAACAATTATTTTATTTGGAAAATTAATTTCTTACGTGCACAATCACATCAATTTTAGAATGATAATTTACAAAGATATCCGCAATGAACATATAATATTATATCTAATTAATATTATTATTTTAATTTATTTTCCTTATATTATTTCTAGATAACATATATATATATATGTATATGAAAACAAAACATTTATTAAAGGAAACATTTCTAAATTTTAAAACATATATATATATATATATATATATATATATATATATATATATTAATACTAAAAACAATGAACCATTTAAATATAATCTTGAATAACAGAATATCTATTTTAAAGTATAAAGCTTTTTTCTCAAATGATTTAAAATAAATTCAATATTATAAACCAAAATATCTGCAATGAACTACAAAATTGTTAAAATCTGTATTACAAAGGTGTTTTATTTATGTTTTGCAAAATAATTTCTTAAATTAAATTTTTTGATTTACACTTTCTGTATATATATTCTATGAAATTCATAAATAAAATATCTATGAATTTTAACTTAATATTTTACATATGTTTCCTCAAAATTTGCCATTATTTTTTTGAATTTTGCTTATATTTTTATTTATTATTTCTAAATAAATTTATTTATACTATATTTTTGAAATGAATTTTCTCATTCAAACTCTCAGATATGATATTAGATTCTGGAAAAAATCCTTGGTCTTCTAATATGAGATTCTGGAGAAAATCCTTGGTCTTCTAATATGATATTCTGGAGAAAATCACCAAGCAAAGACTTATAAATTGAACTGAAGTCATTCATCAAAGGGCCCAATTAGACGAATGTGAAAAAATTTCATCTCTTTAAAGAAAAGATTATGTGGGCGCATTTGGTTACTCATTGTTTTGGTCAACAATTAACTCTTAAAATGACTCTCTTATATATAAGATATATATAAGTAGTTACTGACCTTCATGTTAAAAAGAAAAGTAATAACTGATCTTCCAAATCTGCAAGGTTATATCGAACTGGTCTCCCCCAAAAGTCGAAGTACGGGTGATTGGTCCTCCTAGGGCAGCATGTCTGTTAGAAAGCCAATTGTAAGATAGGCATCTCTCCGAATGAAATTTACAAAATTTCAACCAAATAAAATTTTATTAGTTTATTATTTTTCAAATTTACATAGACTATTCAAGTCAGTATTCAAACAATTGGTTTTAGTTGCACACTACACGTCTAATCATTCAGGTATATGAGCGGCTTGTATTCAAAAGATTATAGTATTATAGAAGTAATAATAAAATAGTTTTACTAAGTGTATTTGTTGATATTAGAAAGCCAAACAGGAGAAAACTTACCGTCCACTATGTAAACAGTCTAGGTTGGTGATCATTATATCTGCTCGGATAAACCTAAGTAACATAATCAGTTTTATGGTTAGACATTAGCATACATAAATTTCTGATATATTCTAAGTAACATGAAATAGTATAATTTGATCATTCACCTACCAACCCGTCTCAAGCGTGTTGAGGTCGTTGTTTTCGTAACTTCCGGACGTGACCGAAATTTGTGCCAAACTGAAGTAGTCCCATAACTCCACGACTGGGCTCCAGACGTTTAGTGTGGCTCTCGTTCCATAGATGGGTAGATCGTCCACGTGCCCTATAGCATACTAGTTTCACCAAAGTACACTCAGTTATTCATGTTGACAATAGTAAGTACTGTTCGAACATAGTGCACATACAGACCAAACCTAATATATGTTAAACTAATCACAATATTCTAAACGAATGAAATACACTTGCCTGATGTCCTTGGGTAGCTCTCTTTGCGCCATCAGGAATCAGAGGGCCTTATTTCCTGTGTGAAAGTCCAGCTTCAACGCGTCGTATCAGAACGCTCCCATGAGGTAATCCTGTTTACAGAAAACAACAAGGGAGTTAGACATGAAAAGATAGATGTTGATGCAAAATGTTGGTGAAGTCATTAGTTAAACTAAGGTTTGAAAGTATTAAGAGGGATTGTGGAGTATTGAGCTGTGAAAATGAATATGATTGAGTTACAAAAACTGTTGTAAGCCCTTTAAAATCTGTTTAACTAAGGTGTTTTATTTATGTTTTGCCAAATAATTTCTTAAATTAAAATTTTGATTTACGCTTCATGCATATCTATGAATTTTAATTTAATATTTTACATATTTTTCCTCAAATTTTTCCATTATTTTTTTTATATTTTGCTTATATTTTTTATTTATTATTTCTAGATAAATCTATCTATACTACTATTTGTGATGTGAATTTTCTCATTCGAATTCTTAGGTATTTCTCAATCTGATTACAATACCACCAAACTGACTGTTCTCCAATCTGTTATAGTCTCAGCCAACAACACACCTTCACAAAACACTTTAAACCATGCGAAACCCTTCTGAATTTAACCCATCAGAGCCAGTGGCCTCTGCACTTATCTCATATGCACCATCATTCTTATCTGAAAAACCTCTCAATATGTCTTTAATAAAATTTCTGAAACTTCCCAAAAACAGAACCTGAGCAAAAAAACTTGAGACATCCGGCACAGACTTGAACTTGTAGTCACCATGTTCAAAAGAACTACAACCAGCAAAACCAACTCCTTGATTTCTTTTCCTTGAGCCATAGAACCAGAAACTTGTTTCTTCTCTTTGGCACCATGTTCAAACTTGTATCCTGAAAACGTTAACAGTATCCAAGAAGCCTTTGTCACACATACCAACTCACTTTTAAAGCGTCCCTTAAACCTGAGATTCATAAGTGCCACCAGCTGCTATTCTTTCAAGCGTCCATTATCATTGAATCCTCTTCTGTTATTGTCTAAAGCGCTGCCAATAACACCTTCAGGCTTGCTGTGATTTTGAGATAAAGCAGCAACCTCCTCTCCCTCTTTCTCTACTCACCAACCTTCACATCACAGCTAAAACCAGGGGAGCTTTTATTTCCAAAGACAGATATAGCCTCCTTCTTACATAGGGATCTAAACTCTTGGAACCATTTGTTGAACAAAACCCCACCTGATTTTGGAAGTACTTCCATTGCAATGGTTTCCTCCTTCCAACTCGGACAAACGAACAATTTGAACAGAATATTTGGGTTCACCCCAGGTTGGTGTTTCATTTGCAGACGAGTTCTCATCAGACACATTATTTCTCCAAACTCATTGCCTTCTGTGACTCTCATCCTAGTAAGTAAGCTGACGTAGAGACTTATTGGAAGGAAGGCTAAACCTGCATTGAAAAGACAGAAAAAATGCTTACCTTAATATCAGATGTCCATTTTCATCATGTAAGATGTTTGATGGTTTCAGATCACAATATGTAATGTAAGAACTTGAAAAATTCCGGAAAAAATAATATTTTACTATTATATAAGAAGTAAATTTGCTTAGTTGTCAACTTCTCCTTGATTTTAGGTAAATTTGTTTATTTACTTTATTTAAATAATTTCATATAATTTATATTAATATATTATATTTTTAGTAAATAAGATAATTCTTTTGAATTATGTTGTTATCTTGAAATATATTTTTTATATAAAACTTAAATTTTAAATTAAGATATAAACACTATTATATTTATCTAAAACAAATTTATATTAATAACTTAATATTTAAATATAATTAAAACAAAATTATATTAATAATTTAATATTTTTCTAAAATAAGATAGTCATTATGGATTATGTTGTTATGTTGAAAATATATTTTCCTATTATAAAATTTAAAATTAAGATATAAAAATTATATTATTAATAATTAAAAATAAATCATAATTAAATATAAACATTAAAAAAATTATTTGAAAAGTGAATTTGTTGATTTGTCTCCATGATCCTGGGTAATTTTTATCATTTATCAGAATTTCTATACTTTATTGACTATATAATTAAAACTAATATATATTAATAATATGATATTTTAGAAAATAAGTTAATTCTTATGTATTATGCTGTTATCTTGAAAAAATATTTTTGTATTATAAAATTTAAAATTAACATGTAAAAAATCAATAATATTATTTAAGAAGTGGATTTGATGTTTGCTGATTTGTCGTATCTTCCATGATTTTAGGTAATTTTGATAATTTATCAATTTCTATAATTTTATATATAATTTATTAAATATTTAAAACAAATTTATATTAATAGTATCAGATTCTTAACAAATATAATACTTCTTATGTATTAAGTTGATGTCTTGAAAAATATATTTTTCTATTAGAAATTTAAAATTAAGATATAAAAAGTTGTAGTTATTCTATAATTGAAATAAATTTACACTAATAATATTATACTTTTAGAGAATATGGTAATTCTTATGTGTTATCTTGAAAATATATTATATTATATAATTTAAAATAAAATAGAAAATTATTTATTATTAATTAAATATAAATCATCACTCAAGAAAAAATATTTAAGAAGTGAATTTGCTGATTTATTAAGTTCTCCATGATTTTAGGTAATTTTAACTATATATCATAATTTATATAATCTTATATAATTATAAAATTTTCATATTATATTTTCAGAAAAGAAATAACTTATGCATTATATTGTTATCTTGAAAATATGTTTTTCTATTATAAAATATAAAATATAATCAAGAAAAATAGTTATAGAAATATATTCTTGTAAATATTTCTTATGTTTGAGTTTTGTCATTGATGATTATTTGATGTTTGATTTTTTTTTTTTTGAAAATATAAATAATAACTCATTATGCTGAATTTTAAAATAATTAAAGATCAACTAATAAATATTCATAAGAGAATTATGCCCGCACGTGCGGGCAAAACATCTAGTAAAAAGTATATATAGAGAGAGGCAGATAATTGTTTAAGATGATAGATAAGTCTTTACCACGCAATTGATCCTGACCTGAAAAGGGAAGTGACGAATTACCAAACTTTGTCAATATCCAAGTCACTTCGAAAATCAGTGAAAAAATTCAATTCGGCCCTTTAGTCTCACTAACATATAATCAAGAAATAGAAATTTAAGGTCCAAAACTTATGAGAATCTAGAGAGAATCGTCACTATTGAGAGATCAGCTCATTAAAATCAACCATTCGATCTCACTATCTCAGGTAACCTAAGCATGAAATCAGTGATTATGATTAATTTTTGAATTTATATTTTGAAAATAAAAAAGATGCGCTTGTTGGGCCCACAATACGCATTAGACCATTTATCTTGAGACATTTTCCTGCCAAAATTAATAGCTAAGAATTACTTTTTACCGCCGTGAAAAGGGGAGAGTGGTAAATTGAGCGGTGTAAAACTGTCAAGCGTACATTTCCTCCCAAATGAGAATATTTTAGTTACATTTATCGCACATGTGCGCGACAAATCGTCTCTCTTTTTGTTTCCCTTCCACCACTTACCACCACTGTTTGCTATTGCTTCCGCTGTTGTCTGAATTGACTAGTAGATTATATCTAAACTAGTATTGTGCACAGGTATATTTTTGCTAACAAATAAGACTAAGTCTTATTTTTATACAACTAAAACTACATTTATAAAACAATTGATGAGTCATAAGGTAATGTGGTTAGATTGGTTTTACAAAATTGCCTTGATCTTAATTAGCTCACTAAATACAAATATTAGTTATATACTTTTGTCTTACTTCTTTATATCTTGTTGTTCATGTGTTTTTCCTAGTTCTTAACTTGCTATCTATGGCTAATTTCTCTTATTACCTTCATATCCACTATACCCTCTGTAGTACTTCAATGGTGTTTGCAATTTAAATTTTGTTGTTAAACCTGTTTTACAGTAGGAAAACAATTAGAACAGAAGCAATTTTACCTTTAATCAGAATTTGTCCCTCACTTTCCTACCATATCTGCGTGTTCTATTTCTCTCTTCATCTTTTCTCTTGTTTTAGCCAGAATTTATTTTAAATCTCATTACACTGGTTGAAATAACCCAACAGTAATTCAGAGCCATCATCTCCACTATTTCTTGATAGAATCACTGGAGAATACAGTCTAATGGAATCGGTACTGACTTTAAACATTATATACAGCCTCAAGTTTGTATTATTATTGAAACTAGATATTTTTTACGCTCGGATAACATGTTTTGAAAATTTTCAATTTTTACATGTTTATAAATTGTTTCATTTGACATAACATATTTTTAAAAAGTTGAATAGTCAATGTGGAATTATTGTGTTATTTTTTTACTGGCTTGAATAAAATATCAAAATTAAATTATAAAATAAGTGTATAAGGAAAAAATATTAATAACACTGTTATAAACTTAAATCGTAAATTTAAAAAATTATTGAATGTTGTCTTAAACCATTTTGAATATGTTTGATAGTGCAATATTGAATTGAGTAAAACAAAATTTGATAATACATAACATAAATTATCGTATAAAATATAATATTATATTTCATGAACATATTTTTTATTCGGTTATATTGCTTTTATTTTATTTTTATCATTTACTATGTTTCTTTTAGAATGTTTAAAAAATTATTCTAGAAGTTGTTCACACAATAAATGTATTATTAATTATATGAAATTATCTATTTAGTTATGTTGAATTAATATGACATATAAATAATATTGTACCCCAAATTTTTTTTTTAGAAATGTGCAGTCATCATTTTATTTTTGTTTCTAAAGGTATCTCTCAGTATGATAATTGTGAAAGTAGTGTTACTATAATAATTTATAGTTGATAAGAGAACATATCTTTAAACATATAATTTAGTGTGAAAGGTTATTGAAAATGATAAAATTAATTTTTTTCCTAGATGCTAAATGTAAAAATATAATTTATATTG